ACTTTTTTGTTTGCTACATAATTAGGTGTTCATTCATAGATTTCATGCCTTCACTGAGAATCTACAATGTAAATAAAGAAAAGAAATTAAATGAGAAGATGTCCAAACGTTTGACTGATATATATATATATATATATGTATGTATAAAACATGCCTCTTCAGCTATAGCATGTAAGTTAACCAGAGAAAATAAACTAAAATAAAATTCCCGGAGATGTCGTTCCTCTTTTCATAGAAGAAAAGAAGATCAGCTAAGAGCTGGGTGTTACCATTGCAGTTGTGTTTGTTATTTTTTCTGTACATTTATTCATATAAACGTGAAATTTGAAATTTGCAAAGCTCTCATCCACCCTAAACTGAGATTTGTTTTAAAGTTGTGTCGACTGCTTCAGCCCCCCCAACAAACCCTGTAATAATATAAGTCAGTTGTAAATTGAAAAATCAGAGTAGCACTAATAATTGAGCCTCTTTGTTTAATTAATTTTATTAAAACAGCACTATTAATTCAGCGTGTCAAACGAGATGTGCTGAAACAGTAGAGCTGAAATGCACACCGGAAGTGCCTCTTTTTTTTAAGGAGGCGGGTTGTACCGGTTATTGTGCTATAAAATGTGCGCGTCTATCAACCGTTGCGATGTCTACATTTCCCGCCATGTGAATGGACAGCAAACATATATGTGTGGACCCTCTGGCTTACTGAACCTTTCCGCGAACAGCAGGCACATTATGTTAACAGCGTGACGGCAGCATCGGTTTTTCGGTGAGTGTTTCACGCTCGTACATCACGTTAGCTGGCACTGTGTTAGCTTACCGTGATGAGACGTGATATTCGCAGTCGCTGTAGTTACGCGGTGATAGCAGCTTTCCTCTTGTCTCTTGTACACCTTGAAACGTGCGTCTACCGAGTACAAACTGATGCATCACCATCGAGACTAACCGCAACGTTCAACATAATAGCCCCTCGTCCAGTGAAGATCATATTTAACGGGAGTTTACCTCTTTGAATAATGCAGTTACTACAGCGTAGTAACTAACTACTGAACCAGATAATGAAGAAAAATGTGTTTTACAGTCTGGAGTGAAATGAACTCGGGCTGAATGTCTTTGAGTAAATAACCGAATTTAACCAGGTAGTACTTAGTTGAGTCTGACAATGGCACATACGTTTGGTTTTGTGGCGTGAATGGCTGCTGCCATGTGCGCACATGGTCAGATTACAGTAAGAATGCCCCTGTGACTCGATACGGAAGCCATGTAGGTGTTACACCTTAAAGTATTGTGCGATAGTAGTGTGTCTGCGTATTGACCTTCGGGCTTTGTGTTTCAGTCCATTGGGTTGAAAATAAAATAAAATAATGGGCACATAAAAATAGCACGTCTCTACTTTTAGTCAGCTTATGTCAGCACTTAATAAACTGTGAAATTTTCAGTTCAGTTATTTATAATTGAATATTCTCTGTTTGTTTTTCTGTTTGATTATTAGTAAGTTTGTGTTATCATCTTTGTGGGATTCTTTAGTACTCTTAGTTGCAGTTACTGTTAGTATGAGAGTATTAGTTTGATTAGGTTTTCCCTTTTTGTCTTTGTTGTTTCCTCATATTAAGTTTAAACAAATTTTTTTAGATACCCTGAAAGACCACAATTGGTCACCTTGCAGGAATCTAGTGTCTGAGCTTCTGATGGTGAGACTGTCGAATATCTTCATCTGTCTGAGGAATCTGCTCTTAGTCCAAATGATTTACATTCCCCTGTGAGTCAACACAAAGAGGTCCAGGAAAGAAGAGAAGTATGTGCCTATTCAAT